AAGTGTGAAGTGTGAAGAAAGCAGTGAGAAGTGAGAAGTGTGGAGTGCGAAGAGTGCAGTGTGAAGTGTGGAGTGTGAAGCGTGAAGTGTGGAGTGTGAAGAGTGCAGTGAGAAGTGTGAAGTGCGAAGTGTGAAGCGTGAAGTGTGGAGTGTGAAGAGTGCAGTGGGAAGTTGGAGCTTCACATGTGACATGTGAAACAGGACAACTTTCGCAGAGTGCACGCACGCACGGGCTTGGCTGGCGCACGGCGCATGCAAGTTCTATAGATGAGAAAGTCTTATATATCCTTAAGGCAACTTCCGCCCCGCCTCGTGCGGGTACTACTGGTATTGGTTATATATTGCTTATATTATATATCATAGGTTGCCATGATATTCCCATTGGTGATATACCGGTAACATTACTCAAAGTGGCCAAAACTTATGGCTTCAGCCAAGGCCCCGCCTTGCCGCCCGAGCAGCCAGCCTGCCAGCACCAGTGGTGCCAGGGCGGTGCACCATCCACTTCCGCTGGGAGGCTGTGGCAACTGGGGGATAATGATCAGTTCATTTGGTATAGCAAGATGGGGGTTTCCATAAATGGGGTACCCCAAAAAAGTTGGAAAACCCATCCAGAAATGGATGATATAGGGGTACCCCCGTTTTTGGAAACCTCCAGATGGAGTATGGGGAGAAGTTCTCCATGCTTCTCCAGAAATTGAACCCGGAGTTGGGCGATGTGCTGTCCCTGATTTTGAACCATAGATGCCTTTGGGCCAGCGCCCCAGCCAGGAGGGCTTGGGAAGCAGAAGTTTGTTGCTCTGGTCCGCTGCCTTCCGTTATTCCAGTGAGATTTGCTTAGTTTCTCGAAGCAGAGGGAGGTCACCATAAGGTCACCAAAAGTTGTGAACCAGTTGCATCCTGTAGACGGTGTTAAAGTTTTTTTTCCAGAAACCACTGTGGCTCGGTACATCCAGCAGACAAACACAATACAACCAGATTTGTTTGTCAGTGTGGGTCTGCATGGTGTTAGAATGTTTTAGAACTGGAATATGCTAGAAAAAGGTAGTAGACTTGGTAACGGTGTTCATCAAGCTACACCCTACTGGTCACCCACTGATCACTGCACAATGCTGAGACAACCGCCACTGAGGACGCCTCCAAAGATGTTTTGATCTGCAATGCACCAAACGCAGAAGAACTGAAAGTGAGCTGCTCCAATGTTGATGTGGCCAGAATGGAAACAAAGTTTTCCCGCAAACGTCGCTGCCTAACAGTGATCTTCTGAGACAAAGTTGCTCAGATCAAGTGGATTTGGGATGTGTAGCTCCTGCAGCTAGGCTGCAGGATTGAATCTTCCAAAGTGGAGAAATCTTGGAGCCAAAGTCGCTTCAATCTAATACGTCGATTTAGAACACCTAATGCTAAACATGGCAATGACTAAAGATGGCAATGACAGGACATTCGTCTGAAAATGGGTGATTCATTGCCCGGTTGGATTGCGGGAGGTTGAGATTACTCCTTTTTCTTGGCCCTTTGAAACACGTGGCCCTTTGAAACGGGGCGCAACATGTTGCTGTGAGTGCCTTGAAGTGCCAACTGGATTTGAGATGGTAGCATTGACCAAGTATATGATCTGGGATAATTCCAGTGAAGGAGGATTTGCTGGAATTACTCGTAACAACGAATGGGGTTTATCATGGTTTATCAGCAATAAAGTCGGGATGTTCCCTACAAATATAATATGGGATTGGCTTATGAAATTATGTTTGGTTTTCTCACATTGGTGAATGAGAATGGGCATGTGACCAGTGAAAGGGAGGTGCAACTGGTTGGCAGCGTTAAAAGCTGGTTGTTCTTTTCCATCTCTAGATGAGATGAATAGCCCCCAACGGTCGAGATATGTTTGAGAGGTTTGAAACCATGGGCACGATGCTTGACTTGTCTACATCTTTGGCCCCTCAAAAACTGAGGGGAATAAAAGGCACTGTTCTCCAAAATCATAGGGGTCTGTTAATTTATCGTTCCATCTCTGATGTTTGCCGAGGCCGCAAAAGGGCGGGCCCTTGCATGGGGAGGCCCAATAGCTGGGTGCAGTGGCAAGCTTTGTCCCAGAAATGATGGTAAATTCTCTGGTAAAGATTGTAAACATATTTATGTCAATGATGGCAACTAAACCCTCCAAGTACCTATATAGGATTATAATGGATTATAGGCTTATGCATCCATTGCTTCGGGATTTTGACCCATTTTTATTGGGACTTGGAGGGGCTGGTATGTAAATGCACAAGTCATCTTCACTTCTCCAGAATATCGGTTTGCCCACAATTGGTTTAAAAAAAATGGTACACCGGTCGGTATACCCAAAAATGGTCACGAAACACTTTGGAAATTGAGATGAACCTGATGATATACCATTGGATTTGGGGTAATTACCATGTTTTTTTGACATATCCACGTGTTTATTGAAATGCTGCATCGCTGCATCCAACAAATTATTGGGATGATGAACCCAATCGACAAATATAGTCGCGTCACATCAAGTTCTTTTTCCATGGCTTGTAAGTGTTTTTTGTTCAAGACCAAATCCACCACTTCAGGTCATATATGAGTACAGATCAAAATTGAAGACCCTCTGGCCTATCTGTCTATCCATACATCGGAGAAACATGGACATATTACTTGATATGAAATAGATGGTTTCCTCCCTGTTCGATCACATAGATATATGAATATAGGTAGATTGATCACATAGATTTTCTCCAATAGATAGATGGTTTCTCCAATATGAGCAACCATGAGAGTTCGATGGTTTTCGGGGTAGCCTATGGCCCTGGCGCTGGGGCCCGCATCGGTGAAATTAACTCCAGGATGCCTTTTCCTACAGCCACCTGCTTGAGCGCTTCGAGAGTGATCGCAAGGACTGGGCGTAAGGGTGAGGATTGATGAGTGATATGACACCTGTGCTGCCTATGAGATCCTATGAGTAGACATGTGCAGTTCCATATCTACCTATTTGTTTGTCTATCTAGTTATACATCTATCTATCTGTCCATCTACCTATCTACCGTATTTATGTTTAGTGATACAGAGATATATTTTGATATATTGTCAATGTTTATCAAAGGTATACAAAATTATTGCTGTATATAATATGTACGTATATATATATATATACATACATGATATTGATATATGCCTGTACATATGTAAGTACATATGTGGTGACGTGTCGCGACCAGACGCAGTGTGGTGGCTTGACTGATTCAATGTCAATCGATGCAGCTGCCACTGCCACGTCACTTGTATCTGCACTTTCTAAAGACTGCGGTGACAACTAGGTTGATAAAAGATCGCATGATACCTGATTTTGGGGAGATAAATCATTATTCTGTGATCACGAATGATTACAACTCCGTAGCTATCCTCTCCCAAAAATGCCCACTCAGATCCCCTCAGCCATGTTCAGATCCGCAAAACTTGACCCATTGTGATTGGTGATCAGCCATGTTTGTCTTTTCTGGCGCAACGGGCTTGGACCTTGGACGACCTAGGACTTCCATCCGCTGAATCCACGTTCGGGGCTCAGCAACCGCTGAGACTCTGGCAGCGAGGCTAGGCCCCCAACAAAGGTGGTCGAATGGTGTTCCCAAGTGAGTTCTACCATGGGTTTTTGAAGACCGATTTCTGGCTGTTCCACCCTAGGGATTTCTTGTTGTGTCAATGAATCTCATGCTGAGGAGTGAAGCCAATTCTTTGCTGCGGTACCCTCCAGTAAACTAACATAGATAAGCAAAATCCACCATTAATATCCTCAGAGCCAAAATTTGTAATTACCATGCTACCCATCCACTTCACTAAGTTAAAAGATATCAGGCAGCTCATTTTCAGGAGGAAGAAAGGTTTTTCCCGTTTAGCGTCTTACAAACATCATGACCCTCGGCCGCGGATCAGTTATCCTCATTTCCCTTGGCCTGCGTGGCGGATCGTCTTTCAAGTCGGAATAAATCAAAACTATTTTAAAGCAAAGCAACTGATCCGTGATCCGCCAGGTAAGTCATATGAAACCTGTTAGGAGTCTAAGGGGAAAGGGTTGCAAAACCTAGTCAAGAGGAAAAACTTTTGTCCTGGTGTTGTATGCTTTCATATATGATACCACGACATTTCTTTGGCCCTTATGTTTGAACCTCACCCATATCTCCACACGCGCAGGAACATACAAGCTGGTAGATATTTGTCACAACCAAACAGACCTGATTCTTGAAAACATGAGCACCCAAAAATTATCCAGTTTATATAATAGGATTGTAATACGATTTCCGATTTCCCATGAAATAAACCATCCAGCTATTGGGGTAAGCCAACTCCAAGGTGAGCGCAGCACTGCTGCGGATATGTGCCGTTACATGGACCAACGCTTGCAGGCGGGATTGCAGCTAATCCTTGTGTTTTGGGGCTATCTAGAGGTTGGCCATGGGTCTTCTATGGCGGGATTTGATTGTATGGTTCCTACATATCCAGTAGAGGTGCAGATCCAGTGATTCGATTCGTGGATGACTATACGGTTTGGAGGCCTAATAAGTTGCAGAAACATGCAGAAAGCTTTTTTCAGGAAGATGTTGTTCTCTTGGAGAAAAAACATGCCACCACCAGCATGGGGTTTGTAACCGAGCTGGTTGCTGGTTCTTGAAATATTTCCTCATATGTCCTCATTTGCAGCTTATTTCCCACAATGACTTCCACATGATTGATGATTTTCTGATAGGCTAGAACTGCAAACCAATCCCCGATATGTTTGATCAGTTTCCATGGATTCATTCATTTTTTGCCCACTTTGCTCGCTAGCTTCATGGAACCAAAAGTAGCAGGAACACCGGAACAGGGAAAACTCCTAATTCACTGAAAATCGATTTGAACACAACACATATCGCATAACACATAAGTTTCCCAGAATTTGGGAAAAATCTGCCGGAACCCCTGGAACTCGGTGGTATTCACCAATGGTTTCCATCCAATCCACCATGCGCCAGGCGTTGGGGTTCCCATCCGTGTCGAACGCCTTTGAGGTGGAGGCTCGGTGTCGCAGGTGTTGTGGCTCATGGGGTGTGGGAAATTCAACACGAAACTATGCGGATTTGACCATCTAAAATGATGGGATATAATGGACTATAATCCCATGATGCTGTTTGATGCGGCTGAAACCACCAGGACAGAGCTTCGGCAACAACAAAAACGGATCACCCAGGGAGAATGGAATAGTCATAGATTTTCCGCGATTTCTAATGTTGGGGAGACATGGGGAAACCATGTTTCTCCTTTACCATTAAAAGAAAAAATATAGTTTAAGTTAAATTGACAACCTAAAATTTGGCACGTGTTTTTGTGTTCAATCAGACGTACGAAGATTGTTGCCCAAGTTAGACCCCTGCCTAACTATCATGGAAGAAACGGCAACATCTATGATATGGGGTGATCCCTCTACTTTGTAGGATTTAATCCCACCCCCTGTTCATATGAAACACTAGGCCTCCAACTTCGGCATAACCCTCAAGCATTGATGGAATGAAGACGAATGAAGCTAAGAATCGGGGTGATTTCGGAAGGTACCAACCCCGAGAAGTTTCACCTGCAACTGTCATGCCCAGGTCGGAAACAAATTGACAAATTGATGTTTGCTTTTTATGATGGCCTTGCACACAGTCGTCAGCGAAGCGTTATACGTCGACGTAGTCGTCTTGTATATCAGAATGTCATTGCACAAGTATATAATAGTATATACCTGTATCTATATATATATGTGTGCGTATAGTATGTATAGTTATGTTGTATAGCTATAGGTGTTAAATGTTCTCTTCTGCATGGTTTCCCTAGGTTGGTGTGTTCTCAGTTTGGTTTTGTCCACGTCCCCAGGTGATGCGAGCACAGAGCTCAGATGGGTGGAGACAGACATCTTGTTGGTTCAATGGAGAGATGACCAGAAAAAATGGAAGTAACTCAACAGATGGATTCCAGATGGTTTTCTATACATATAAGGTGGTGCCCCATAGGTGGCTAACTTGGTTTATAACTACATTAACTGGGGTTTATAGGGGATATAATTGTGATTACTATGGTTTATAGACCAACTTATAACTGGTGGGGCACCACTTTGCAAACCAAAGAAACAAACTGTGCAATTACCTGGGTTCTGATTTTTCCTCTATGCATCATTTTCTCCAAATCCAGCAAGGGCGGCTTAAATTACACAGGCCCAAAAAAGGTGCTTCTCCATGTGTTTTTGTTGGTGGTGGTCAAAGTGAGAAGCACACTGAAGTGAGTGGGTTATACTGTTATACAGTTATATAATTATATATATATTCATATATGGTATATTATATATACAATGTATATATATATATAATTATATATATATACGCGTTATACCAGGTCAATTGGGGTGATGACATCCACTTGAATGAGTAGCCCAGAATCCAGTGGTTTATCATCATTTTCCCTTTCGAATTCGAGTGCCCTTAAATGCACCATCTTAGGATATCCTGATAGATCCCCATGATATCCTGAAGCGAAAAAATAATGCGAAAAATAATGCTCTTACTTCCCATGTTAATACAAATTCATGATTTTTCGCTTCAACGTCGCAAACCTAGGCTGACCAGTTCTTGGATCAGTTGCAGCTCTACATGCCCAAACCGATTCGCCCGGAGGCGTGCTGCGGGTTGAATCCTCGTTTTGGTTTATGCCGCCAGTGGTTCCATGTACCCTCTGGTAAACTAACACTTAGCCATGGAAAATCACCATTTTTAATGGGTAAATCAACTATAAATGGCCATTTTCAATAGCTATGTTAGTTTACCAGAGGGTAAGAAGTTAGAAACTCACTAAGAGATTCGTTGGAGTTTGATCCAGCCTAGTGGATGTTGCACTGAATTCCACTAGCTGGAAGCTTGCAAGATTTTTTGAGATACCCTCTGGTAAACTAACATAGCTATTGAAAATGGCCATCTATAGTGGATTTACCCATTAAAAATGGTGATTTTCCATAGCTATGTTAGTTTACCAGAGGGTACATCGGATCTGGGCGCTGTTAGATTGCAGTGATACTTGTAGACACCTGGCTTCTTCTTCTTTGGCTCTCCAGCCCTTTTGCTGCCCCCTCAGCACAAAAATTGACGTTACCGGGGACCATTGCTTGAGTTGGTTGCCCCAATGACTCATGTTGCACGCATGCTAATTTCTGGCCTGAGAAGCTGCTTGTTTGCCTAGTGACAGGCTAGTGAACATACGAAACTCTGATGGAAACACATGGAGATAGGATGGTATAGGACAATTGTTTACAGTAACATAGTAAATCCTATGGTAGCGTCGGGCTTCACCAAAGGCCCATTTGCTCTGAAAAGTACCCAACAAAACTCCATGGATTTTCCTTATGTCATGTTCAGAAATCCATTTGTTCATTGCCATCTTGAAGGGTACCCTCTGGTAAACGTTTACAAAAAATTATAGAAAATCACAATTTCTCATGGGTAAATGAACTATTAATGGCAATTTTCAATAGCTATATATATATATAGATATAGATATACCTCAGGTAAACTAACACTTAGCCATGGCAAATCACCATTTTTCATGGGTAAATCCCCACCATTTACGGCACCAGAGGGTAAATCCCCATCATTTCTTGCCACCTTTTGCGAGCCGCTTTCAGGACCTGAAAGTGGCCGAAAACCTCTTGCGCCTCGGGCGCCCCCTGAGCCGGGGATCCTCAGATGGCCTCACATCAGAAGATCTTCATGATACAATGGTGATGTCATGGGAATACATATATATATATATACATGTATATTATCTGGGTAAATTATAACGACCCCAACTCATTGGAATCATGGTTAGTAAGGGGAATCATCCCCAGATGGCCTTAATTCAGGTTAGTGAAATATTATAATTTACCCAGATATTATATAACTGATATAAGCAAATGTTATGGTGATATATCTGGCTGGCTGGTTGGTGGTTTGGAACCATGGAATGGATTATGACTTTCCATATCTTGGGGATGGAATGATCATCCCAACTGACGAACTCCATCATTTTTCAGAGGAGTTGAAACCACCAACCAGTTATATATATATATAACTAATATAACCAAATGACTATGGTGATATAATGTGATATGTATATACATATATATATGCGATATATGGTTATAGTTATGTTGAATGAATGGGAATCTGCCATAATCTACCATCAGTTATACCTCTGTTTTTGTTTAACGGTTTGCAAGCTGGAAATTCATCATGATTGATAGGTAAACTATCATTTTTCATTGACCTTTCAATGGGCCATGGTTCCATAATGTTCCATACATATCTTGAATAACCAGAGGGTAATACTGTGAGCAATTTCTATAAACCAATTGGTACCCCGCTTTTTGGGCCACATCGTTCTTCACTGGCCCTGTCATCTCCTGGCTAGGCTGTACTGTAAACTCCATGATTATATGGTAAATCTGGGTTATACAGTTATACATATAATATCTATGATTTTTTAATGTTTGATTATATATTCTATGTTTGAGGAATCAGCCGTGATCACTCAATATCAGCCGGAGAGTAGTGATGATTTCATGGCGATGGTAGCTACGGTGGCCCAAGGTGGTGGAGGTATCGATGTGGTTGAGCCCGGTGGCTCAGTGGCTGTCCATGGCTGTCCTGCCACTTTCGATGCTCCGGAGGTGGGATGACCATAGGTCGACTGGCCTTTCCTTGAGGGGCTGAAGCCACAAATTTAAGAGATCTATACAATTTCTAAGCCACCAAATCCTGATAAAGTGTGTTTTTGAGGAAATCACAAAGTGTGTTCTCAATGGCATGATGACCTCCCAGCAATTCGCAGTATTGATCATGAAAAATATGAGCATGTTTTATCCGTGGCATCTGAGTTCGTCTGAAGATAGGCCATGACGCCCCATGACGTCCCATGGTATTTCCCATTTCCGGGCAATCTCATGTACTACGAAACGGGATGCCCATGAATCATGATGCCACTTATATCCCCATTTGTTGGTGGTACAGTATCCCCATAGTTGATTATTTTGGCCACATGAAAAGGCTAGAAGATAGAAGCCTCGCAAAAATGAATGGTGCAAGATTAGAACTGGCCAATTTTTGCGGATCCAGTTCAGTAGTACAGTACCCCAATTTTGACCGCCCATACCCATTTGTTGTGTGGTGGTAAATATTGGAAATTCATTGAGTATGTCCCCATGTTTGCCGGTTACCCTCTGCCACTCAAACATGGCAATGGAAAGTCCTCAATCCTTTGTTTGTAGCCGATTTTCTTCATTGGGGATTTCCCGTTGCCATGTTTGATTACCGGATGATAAATTCCCAGTGCTGTGGATACAACCCCAGTTTTAAGTCCGCTTAGTCCAGTTATAACTGTAGTGATTTTATAATGAGATGAACTGCTGCTATGGTGTCCGTCGCCCATTTTCATTCGTACCCTTTGGTAATTTAACTGTGTGGTAGGGAAAATAACGGTTCTTTGTAGGTAAATTATCGATCAATAGGCAATTTTCCATACTATACCATGAAATCCATGAATATAATATTCATGTATATTCCAGGAGTATTCCATTACCAGGAGTACCGCACAAGACGGTGGCGGAAGCTTCAAAGATAGGAAACTATAGAAGAGGTGAGTTGTTGTGATGCATGGATAGCAGAGCAAATCCACTGATGGACCGAAAGGTGGATGTGATTTTTGGAGTGGTTGCAGTGGTCACCTCACCCACAACTGCAGGATGCAGTGCGGCGTAGCGAAGTGCAATGTAATTGCCGTTGTAGTTGTAGTTGTAGTTGTAGTGTAGTTGTAGTTGTAGTTGTAGTTGAAGTGTAGTGAGGTTTGAAGCTGTAGTTGTAGTTGTCGCGTCGTGTAGTTGTAGTTGTAGTTGTAACCTAGTGTAGTCTAGCGTAGTTATAGCTGTCCTTGTAGTTGTAGTAGTTGAAGTGTAGTCGTATTTGTAGTTGTAGTGTAGTGGATTTGTAGTTTTGGTGTAATGTAATTTGTGTAGCGCAGTTGTAGTTGCAGTTGTAGTTGCGGTGTGGTGTAATTACAGTACAGTGAAATGGAGTGTAGTGTACTGTAGTGTTGTGTGCTGCGGTGTAGTGTAGTCTAGTCTAGTGTAATGTAGTGCCATGTAGTGTAGTGTAGTGTAGTGTAGTGTAGCGTAGTGTAGTGTAGTGTAACGTAGTGCAACGCAATGCAGTTGTAGTTGTAACTGTAACGTAGCGTAGTGGAAATAGTGTGGTGTAGTGTTGTGTTGTGTAATGTAGTGTAGTTGCAGTTGTAGTTTTCATTGTAGTTTTGGTGTAGTGTAGTGCAATTCGTTTACTGAGTGTAGCGTAAAGTAGTGTAGTTGTAGCTGTGGTTGTAGTAGTAGTGTAGTGTAGTCTAATGTAGGGTAGTTACCTGTAGTTGTAGCTGTAGTAGTAGTGGTAGTTGTAGTTGTAGAGTAATTAGTGATTAGTGTAGTGTAGTGCAATTAGTGTAGTGTAATGTAGCGTAGTGATTTGTATTTGTAGTTGTAGCTGTAGTAGTAGTGTAGTGTAGTGGTACTTGTAGTTGTAGTTGCAGTTGTAGTTGTCTCTCTATTTATCTGTCTATCTGCAAGCTTGAAAACGAAGCTATTCTGCGGGACTTCCTCAATTTTTGAACTTGACAACATCAAAAACAAAGCTATTCTGCGAGACTTCCTCATTTTTCGAAGTTGACAACATAAAAAACGAAGCAATTCTGCGAGACTTCTTTCAAAAACAGAAAGTTGAGCGCAGAGCTGACGGCCTCGTACCAATGCGTTTTGCAATGTTTCCACTCCGTCTGTCTAAAGTATTGTGCCTGCCACGGAAAAGTGATGCCAGGTCATGCGAAGTGCTGCACCTGTCACGCAAAATCATCTTAGCAAACCTGAAGACCTGATGCTCCAAAATGCAATCCCTCTCAAGAAATCTGTGCCCAGACCTAATATCTCTGATGAGCATTGCAGCATGTCTCTTGTACCGCGCCTGCCACGCGAAATGCATCTTCCCAGATCGTCTTCAAATGCCCCACGCCTGCTTGGACATGCTACAAAAACCGACTCTTGACAATGTACAGAACCCCTTGCACCCGCCACACCAAACGACATCTGAACATCCAAAAGTGGTCCGAGACCGTCAGTTTTTAACACTTTTCACTTTTAACTTCGAAATGTGCTTCGCGCCACAACGGCGCGCACTTTTTCGACATCTCAACTTCCAAAAGTGGTCCGAAGCTGACCTGCTTTGTACATTTTGACTTGGAAACGTGCTTCGCGCCACAATGGCGTGCACTTTTCGACATCTCAACTTCCAAAAGAGGTCCGAAGCTGACGTGTTTTTGTACATATTGACTTGGACATGTACTTCGCTTTTTCAACATCTCAACTTCCAAAAGTGGTCTGAGGTTGGCGTGCTTTGCACATTTTGACTTCGAAATGTGCTTCGCGCCACAACGGCGTGCACTTTTTCGACATGTCAAGTTCAAAAAGCGGTCCGAAGCTGACGTGTTTTGCACATGTTGACTTGGAGATGTGCTTCGCGCCACAACGGTGTGCAATTTTTCATTCATCTGGCCAGATGGCTCCGCTCCCGCCGCTTTAGCGAGCCTACTTTTCGACCCTCCGGAACCGCAAATCACTGGAAAAACACAGTGAATTGCGACTTTTCTACCTTTGCGCGCACCTGCATCTTCTTTCTTCTGACTCTTTCTCTTCTCTGATCTTCTCTCTTCTTCTCTTCTCTTCTCTGACTCTTCCCACCTCTGCTTTTCCATCTGTCCATACTGTCCGAAGTTTCACTTCTAAACTTCCTTCGATTAAATAGACCGTTTTCCATAATATACTTGCATATTCCAAAAAACGGTATATCCTTATTATATCCCCATTATACCACCATGAAGTTGTTCCCTTTGTATTGCTTTTCTTTATCTCCATCCAACGGCGCTGAGGTTCTGCGAGCGCTTCGAACTCTTGGCTCGCAACGGTGCAGCGGCTGGTAGCGCCCCGCCTGCCCCCGTACCATGGCTGGATTAATGGCAATTTAGCGAGCTATCAATGGGGATTTAATGGGAATACCTAGTGGGATGGAAGCTAATGGGTGCATTTGAAGGATTATCTCATAATATCTCACATAGTGGTCAGTGTTTGTGGGGCAGTTTAGCCATTTACAAATGGGAGAATCCACTGAATGGAGACTTAATCTAGCCAGGATTACTAACCACCAAGCGGTTCCCCATACTTAGCTAAGTTGCTTTATGGTAGATATGTCGAACTAGTTTTCATGGGGTGAAACTAAAGCAAGCTGTAACTTGGGGGCACCACCTCGTAACATGATGGTTCCCAGTTTTTTTTTGGCGGGGATAATTGTGTTTTTTCTTACCTAACCACTAGAAAATTTGACATTTGTAGCTGGGAACGAATAAATTATGCTTAGGATTCTCCCAAATGGCCTTGCTTCTGGTTGAATTGTAGCAGTTTGCCCTGATCCATGTTGGGAAAATTTTGATTTTTGTTGAATTCCCCAACTGAATGAAAACCAAGGCAGGATGGAATGAAATGAAAAGAAAAAGTTGGTCTTAACATGTATAATTTAATAGTCTATAAAGTCTATAGTCTATAGCGCTCCACGAGTTGAAATTTCAAAGATGTTTTTCAAACTTCCAGATTTGGGACAATGATCCATAATACCAGTAGTACCGCACAAGGCGGTGGCGGAAGTTTCAAAAATAGGAAACCTATAGGAGAGGTTGGTTGTTGTGAATCAGGGATGGCAGAGCGAAGCCATTGATGGAGCGAAAGGTGATTGATCTCTCTCACAATTTCTCCCTCTTTCTCTGACTATCTACCTACCTACCTACCTATCTATCTATCTATCTCTCTCTCTCTCTCTCTCCCCTTCATCTGTCTAGCTGTCTACCTGTCTATCTGTCTATCTATCTATCTGTCTACCTGTCTATCTGTGGTGCAGTGTCATTGAGTGTAATGTGGTGTAGTGTATATAGTGTGGTGTACTGGAGTGTAGTGGAATGTAGTGTAGTGTAATGTAGTGTAGTGTAGTGTAATTTAGTGTAGTGCAATTTAGTGTAGTGGAGTGTAGTGGAGTGTAGTTGTGTAGTTGCAGTTGTAGTTGTAGTTTAGTGGAGTGTAGTGTAGTGTAATGTAGTGAAGTGTAGTGGAAGGTAGTGGAGTGTAGTGTAATGTAGTGTAGTGTAGTGGAGTGTAGTGTAGTGTAATGTAGTGAAGTGTAGTGTAATTTAGTGTGGTGGAGTGTAGTGTAGTGTAGTGTAGGGTAGTGTAGTGTAGTGTAGTGGAGTGTAGTGTAGTGCAATGTAGTGTAGTGTAGTGTAATTTAGTGTAGTGGAGTGTAGTGGAGTGTAGTGGAGTGTAGTGGAGTGTAGTTGTGTAGTTGTAGTTGTAGTGTAGTGGAGTGTAGTGTAGTGTAGTGGAGTGTAGTGTAGTGTAATGTAGTGTAATCTAGTGAAGCGAAGCGAAGCGAAGCGAAGCAACATCTGAACCTCCAAAAGTGGTCCGAACCCCTAGTGTTTTTAACATGTTGACATCGAAATGTGCTTCGCGCCACAATGCCGTTCACTTTTTCGACATCTCAACCTCCAAAAGTGGTCTGAACCCCTAGCGGTTTTAACATTTTGACTTGGAAATGGGCTTCGTGCCACAACGGCGTGCACTGTTCCGACATCTCAACTTCCAAAAGTGGTCCGAGAATGAGGTGCTTTGTACATTTTGACTTGGAAATGTGCTTCGCGCCACAACGGCGTGCACTTTTGCGACATCTCAACTTCCAAAAGTGATCCGAACGTGGTGTGTTTTGTACATTTTGACTTGGAAATGTGCTTCGCGCCACAACGGCGTGCACTTTTTCGACATCTCAACTTCCACAAGTGCTCCGACCATGGTGTGCTTTGTACATTTTGACTTGGAAACGTGCTGCGCGCCACAACGGCGTGCAATTTTTCATCTCTCCTCTGGCCAGCTGGCTCCGCACCCGCCGCTTTAGCGAGCCTACTTTTCGACCCTCCGGAGCCACAAACCATTGGAAAAGCACAGTGAATCGCGACTTTCCTTCCTTTTCGCGCATCTTCATCTTCTTTCTTGATCTTTCTCTTCTCTCTGCCTCTGCCCTGCTCTGCTTTTCATCTGTCCATATTGTCGGAAGTTTGACTTCTAAACTTCCTTCGACAATGATTCCGATTTATGTGGGGTCAAAACATTTTGAAACCAACAATCAGTTGGGGCGGTGGATGATGTCCGGTCTTTTTTAAATAATAAATAATCAATGTTCGTGATCATTAGGGTTGAGCAATGTTGATCATTGACTCAAATAATTAGATAGTGGGTGAATCTCATCTGAGCTCGCCGTGTGAAGGTTCCTTCTCCCGAAGACGTAGGTGGGCCCTTGGATGATGATGCTGCAGAAGGTGGCCACAAGGCGAAAGAAACTGAGCAGGACGATGATCCAGCAACACGTGCGGCATTGAACGCGTTGCGAGAAGAGTTTGGCAATTCTGCCAATTTATCAGTTTGCTGTTGTCTGACACGTTGCTGAAACACAAGATCCGCCTGATTGTCTTTGATCTCGACCCTCTACATCATGAATATGCACATGCTCACGCAGAACATGCCCTTGGACAAGAGCATTTCGCCATATGGGCAGCATTCCTAGCGAGCAGGTCTTACTGCTCAGGGACTTCCATAGAACTGGTTTTTGCCAGTTGGAAATGCCTGGTTTTGCATGAACTTGGAGGCTTTGTGAGGCTGAAACCATAGCCACGCAAGACTAAAACAATAATTTTCAACATGACAAGTTGCACGGGCTGTTGTTTGAAGGTGCGTTCTTTGTTCCACTAAGTGTTGTCCTTGTCTTTGGGATGCGGCAGTGTATCCTTTTCTGCACAGCAAAGTTCGGTTGTAGGACAACAAACCAGTCCTTAGGTTGGGGCAATCCTGGATTTACCATCTGTAGTATTGGACGCTGCTGGAGGGAAGACAATCAGTTTCACAGATCCATCGCCATGAATGTTCTCAGCATATTCTTTTGTAAAAGAACTGTTGTGTCCATCAAAACTCAAAGCAACCTTTTTCTACATGTAAGAAATATATATATGAACATCATTGAACATCAATCAAACTAGAAAATTCGTGGATTTTTTTGGTCACTATGTTTGATATCCCATAGGATCCATGTATGCTATATATGGTAACATTTATCATCAATATACCCCAGTCATGTTAGCATATATACCATACATGGATCCTATGGGATTGAATAGTGGGAAATTCATAACTATGGAAAGATCCACCATTTTTAGTGGGAAAACTCACTATTTCTATGACCATGTTCAATAGTTTTTTGTTAAATTACCAGAGGGTAAGTATGGTGAACTGATCCACTTACTATTGAAAATGGTTATTTATAGTGGAATTTCCCATTAAAAATAGTATGGGTATCTATACTCACTGGTCCTTTGTTGTTCTCATTAAAACCAAGGTCAGGCCGCCGCCGATCCCTGACAGCGACGTCTCCAAGGTGCTGCTGAGAGAAAGGCAGGAGCATGGCACGGACAGCACCCAGCGAAATGGTTGTACAAAAGGGAGCAAATATATACCATATATATATATACCATATATATATATACCATATATATATACTGGTTTTTTAGGGGCTGTTATATATATATATATATATAATCTCATATATATATAGTATAATCCATATTTATGTATACCCTCTGGTTATTTAACAGAGCCATGGTATATATGGCCCATTGAAATAGATGGTTTACCTATTAAAAATGGTGATTCTCCATGGCTATGTTAAATAACCAGATGGTGTATATATATAATTATATATATATATGTGAGTCCGGATCCCGGATCCCTGGCCCCCCCCCCATGGTATGGTCCCCCAAGCTCACGCTCCTGGCCCCCCCCCAATGGTATGGTCCCCCAAGCTCACGCTCTCGGGAACACGGGACACGGGACCATACATACATACATGCATGCATGCATGCATCCATCCATCCATCCATCCGGATGCATCCATCCATCCATCCGGATGCATCCATCCATCCATCCATCCATCCATCCATCCATACATACATACATACATACACACACAGACATACATACATACCTATCTACCTACCTACCTACCTACATACCTACATACCTACATACCTACGTACCTACGTACACACGTACATACATACCTACCTACCTACCTACCTACCTACCTTGGTGGGTAACTTGCCATATGGTTTTGATGGTTTCTTTACGGGGCCATGATGATGGCTGGGACTACCAAAATCGATCCCTGCAGCACTTTCGTGCTCAAAGCAACCTGGAGAACTACAATAGCCGGGACCGAGCAGCCACGCAATGATGTGGCCAATTGGAGAGGCATGGGATGCGGTTCTCTGTGGAAAAAAACTATTGGGAACAGGGCTTTGGAGGATATAGCTGACATGTAAACCACTATACACTAAGACCATGGTAGCGCATGAACATGAAACCGAATTTTGCGTTAAATTTTAATTTTGGCTGAGACTGGGTTTGGGCCTTTTCTCTCTCTCTACAGCCCTTTCCATCTACAGCTGTTTTGCCCGGAGCCATTTTAAAATAGCTTCGTATTCTTGCCGTAGCTATTTTTCACCGCAGCCATTCTCTCTCTGCAGCCCTTTCCGCCTGCAGCTGTTTTTCCCGGAGCCATGTTAAAATAGCTTTAGCCGTTTCCTGTAGCCTTTTGTCATTGCAGTCATTCTCTCTCTGCAGCCCTTTCCATCTACAGCTGTTTTGCCCGGAGCCGTGTTAAAATAGCTCTAGCCGTTTCCTGTAGCCATTTTTCATTGCAGCCATTCTCTCTCTGCAGCAATTTCCATCTACAGCTGTTTTTCCCGGAGCCATGTTAAAATAGCTTTTAGCGGCTTTAGCCGTTTCCTGTAGCCATTTTTCATTGCAGCCATTCTCTCTCTGCAGCCCTTTCCATCTACAGCTGTTCTGCCCGGAGCCGTGTTAAAATAGCTCTAGCCGTTTCCTGACGGCCCAGAATCGCACTCCACAAAGCTTGAAGTCTTGCGGTTCGATGTCAGGTGGTTTTAAGCGCATGACTTTGCACAGTTTGACAAGAGCTGTATAACTCAATATGCAAGACATGTGGCTCAGGTTGTGACCGCTCTGTCTCTCCGGCGCCAAGAGGGCCTGAAGCAACTCCGTTGGGGAACCCATTGGCACAACAGGATCGACTTGCATGATTCTGGACCAGATCTAAAAAGTAGGGCGAGCTTCAACTAATTGTTTTTTTCATTAAACGCACCATGCCTTATTTTGGTGGGAGTCAGATGGGGCGGTCAAGTAGAATGAACTAGTAGAGTGCGTGAAACACATTGTTTGCAGACCGTTTATTGTGTTGATTTGAGCAATTTTTCGGTTTTCATGCAAGATGCTGGATCAGATCTAAAAAGTGTGTGACCGTTTCCAATGCTTGCCCTGCTGTGACTGTTTCAGCCAGTGGGGGACAGCTGCTGCAGCTGGGCATTGGAAAAGAATAGTAAATGGTTTCTTTGAATCCCCTTTCTACCCTTATAGGATGTTCAAGCCTGTGTTGATATGAGCATTTTTTCGTTTTCATGCTGTTCGAAGCCCAATTTGGCTTCAATGCGACACCAGCAACAACTTCAGTAGTGTTCCAGGGGTAGGTTTGTCTACAGCCATGGCACCAAAGAAAAAAAGAATTCAGGAAAGTTCAGTGCCTCTACCGCCTGGGCGTGTGCAAGTCTCTGACAGGGGGGCATCTTCAAGCCAGGCTTCGGCATTACCGCCTCCACCCCCGGCAGACGTCACGGGTCCAGAGGCTCCTCCCCATAAGAAGCTGAGGAGAGCAAACATGTTGAGGGCCAGGAGGCACAATCAGGCAAATGCTCTTTCATTTTACAAGTCCCCGCCGGATTGGTTCTCCGAGCCACAAGCTGATTTCCAGGTGGCGAAACGCTTTTTTCAATCGCTTCGGAAGAAGGATGTGTGGGGAGCACTGATATATTTGTTTTCAATGCTGTTCAACATTATCTTTGCATGGAAACCAGATGCAAGCTTCGGTCAACGAGCAAAACATCAAACAGCCCCTGCGAGGGCCTTGCATTGGCACCGACAGCTTCGGCTGACAGCTGCCGACATGCACAGACTCGAGGGCATGTTCAAGGATCAAGTCTTTTATGGTGCCATGCAGGCGGCAGAGCAGGCAAACGCAGCTGCAAAAAAAAGTGGGGCCGGAAGGACTGAAGCCTCTGCTGCCAGCTCTGCTGCTGGTTTTTCGGAACCTTCAGAAGCCAGACCCAAACAGACACCCGAATCAAAATGGTTGCCGAAGCTACAGCTCAGCTTCCAGTGCATGCGTTTTCTTTTCGAATGTGGCAGATGGTCTTTACCATTGAATGAAGAGTGGCCCGACGAGATGTATCATTCATGGTGCATTTACATCGAAGATTTCTGTTGTACCCATGCTTGGTTTGGTTGGAAGAAGCCGAAATTCCGCTCAGTGGCCTGGGAGCATTTCAAGGCTTTCTACAAAGACGTCAAGATTGAAACCAAGCCTGACAGATCACCAGCTGAGCTGGAGGAGCTGGAAAAGAAGCTGGCTGCGAGCTTAGAAGAGGAAATAATTGAAGCAGCAGCTCCAAGTGAGGTGGCAGAGGCCGCAAAAGAGGATGTCCATGATGAGGAGGTCCATGATGAGGATTTTGAGGCAAAGGCAGCGGAAGGCGCTATGGCAGTGGGATTGCTTCTGGATGCCATGGAAAAGGGGTGGTTGATGAGTGCCCCGTCCAGCCACCAAACAGATGTAGCTCAAATCTTGGACTTGTGCCGGCAATGGCTGCAGAAGGGCTCTGCATTGGGGGATCTGCAAGACATGATGATGCCTGCTCAAATTCGTCAGTTGCCAACGTCGATGCGGGCTTGGACGCTGGTGACGTTTACTGGGATGCAGTTTGTGGAGTCTGAAAATTGGTTGCCGACCTACATCCAGATCCCCTCCGACACAGGTATCAGGAAATGGGCCGGCCAGTGCACATATGACGATCCGGGGAATATTTGTTTGGATTTTACCTATCACATTCTGATGTTGCATCGTTTCTCTCAACCCCACAAGCTGCAGCAAGCGATGTCCGCCACTTACCGCAGGTACGGGTCCACCAGTGAGAAGTCCGGCTCTGGACGTATGAATTTTAGGGGCAATATCATCGAGGCCCTTCTGCATCGTGCCCAAGTAGAGAGGTCCAAAGTTAGACCAGGACGGCGTTGAGCTGAAATTGATCAGCTGCGAGGCGCACTGGGAGGCCAAAAAGCCTTTGACAATCCTCGTCACAGGAACCAGTTGGCCACACCAGCATTGGATGAGCCCATGATGACAGGACTATGTTGGGCCCAAGTTTCTTTTATTTTTTCCATCGATACTGACTGAGGTCAACGACGGTGGGCCTGAAGCAACTCCGTTGGGGAACCCATTGGCACAACAGGATCGACTTGCAGGATTCTGGACCAGATCTAAAAAGTAGGATTCTGGACCAGATCTAAAAAGTAGGGCGAGCTTCAACTAATTGTTTTTTTCATTTTTTCATGTAAGATGCTGGATCAGATCTAAAAAGTGTGTGACCGTTTCCAATGCTTGCCCTACTGTGACTGTTTCAGCCAGTGGGGGACAGCTGCTGCAGCTGGGCATTGGAAAAGAATAGTAAATGGAGATGCTGGATCAGATCTAAAAAGTGTGTGACCGTTTCCAATGCTTGCCCTACTGTGACTGTTTCAGCCAGTGGGGACAGCTGCTGCAGCTGGGCATTGGAAAAGAATAGTAAATGGTTTCTTTGAATCCCCTTTCTACCCTTATAGGATGTTCAAGCCTGTGTTGATATGAGCATTTTTTGTTTTTCATGCAGGATGCTGCTTGCTGTTCGAAGCCCAATTTGGCTTCAATGCGACACTAGCCACAACTTCAGGTAGGTTTGTCTACCGCCATGGCACCAAAGAAAAAAAGAATTCAGGAAAGCTGACAGGGGGGCATCTTCAAGTCAGGCTTCGGCATTACCGCCTCCACCCCCGGCAGACGTCACGGGTCCAGAGGCTCCTCCCCATAAGAAGCTGAGGAGAGCAAACATGTTGAGGACCAGGAGGCACAATCAGGCAAATGCTCTTTCATTTTACAAGTCCCCGCCGGATTGGTTCTCCGAGCCACAAGCTGATTTCCAGGTGGCGAACCGCTTTTTTCAATCGCTTCGGAAGTAGGGGCTAGAGTCTGACAGGGTGTCTGAAAAATCGGACACCCCGTCACGAAGTCTTACGCTCGCAATGAGCCGCTCCTTGGTGAGATTTGACTGGACGTCTCACCAATGCGAGCGACGAAAGGGCATAGCCCTCTCGCCGCCGCCAGCCACCCTCAGGTAGCAATCTAAGATGTTGCGGGCCGCGTTGACGTCCCGGTGCCAGAGGGGACAGCTCTAGCCGTTTCCTGTAGCCATTTTTCATTGCATCTATTCTCTCTCTGCAGCAATTTCCAT